TAGTTACTGATACTATAGTCTATTACTGATACTATTGTATATAGTTACTGATACTGCAGTGTATTACTGATACTATCGTCTATTACTGATAGTATATTGTATTATTACTGCTACTATTACTGATACTATAGTTCATTATTGATACTACACCCTGTTCCAAATTATTATGCAAATGATATTTTTCTCATTTACCTAAATAATTGATGTAAATAACAGTCAGCACAATTCTCATGTTTTCAACTATTAAGAGAACAATTCAAATTTTATTGAACAAACCTCCTAATGATAACAGTATTTTTTTTAAACATAAAAAACTTACAATGCACTGTTCCAAATTATTACGCACAGTAAGTTTCAAAACACTTTATAGGTTGTAAAGAACTGAAAATTGTCATTTGTTGTGTTTGCAGCATATTTACTGAAATCGAAAGCTATTTCAATCAAACTTATAACAACATTTTAACTTTTTAAACATTTTAACAGATCACGTTGCAGTTTAACATACGACCCCTTATTTGATAGCAGATTCACAAGTCTTGCATTCATTGAACTTGTGAGTTTTTGGACAGTTTTTGCTTGAATTTGTTTGCAAGATGTCAGAATAGCCTCCCAGAGCTGCTGTGTGGATGTAAACTGCCTCACACCCTCATAGATCTTTTGCTTGAGGATGCTCCAAAGGTTCTCAATAGGATTGAGGTCAGGGGAGGATGGAGGCCACACCATGACTTTCTCTCCTTTTATCCCCATAGCAGCCATTGATGCAGTGGTATTCTTTGCAGCATGAGATGGTACATTGTCATGCATGAAGATGATTTTATTACGGAAAGCATTGTTCTTCCTTCTGTACCAGGGAAGAAAGTGGTCAGTCAGAAACTCCACATACTTTGCAGAGGTCATCTTTACACCTTCGGGGACCCTAAAGGGGCCGACCAGCTCTCTTCCCATGATTCTGGCCCAAAACATAGCTCCACCACCGCCTTGCTGACTTCGCAGCCTTGTTGGAACAGGGTGGCCGTCCACCAACCATCCACTACTCCGTCCATCTGGGCCATCCAGGCTTGCACGGCATTCATTAGTGAACAGGACTGTTTCTGCGCAATGCAGCCGTTTCTGCTTGTGAGCATTGGTTAGTGGTGGCCGAATAGAAGGTTTATGCACAGTTGCAAGACTCTGGAGGACTCTACACCTTGATGTCCGTGGGACTCCAGAGGCACCAGCAGCTTCAAATATCCGTTTGCTGCTATGTAATGGTATTTTAGCAGCTGCCCTCTTGATCCGATGCATGGATCTGGCAGAAATCTTCCTCAATGCGCCTTTATC